TTTTAATTTTTTCTTTTTTGGGAGGGGGGAGGAAGGATAAAATGTTTAAGTACTTAAGAGTGTGTCTGCTGAGTGCTTTACTGGCAGATGAAGCATAAGAAGTTCCGTCTCCAGGTGAGGAGCAACTTCTTTACTGTTAGGGTAACAGAGCAGTGGAACAGGCTGCCCAGGGAGGTTGTGGAGTCTCCTAATCCGGAGGTCTTCAAAGCCTGCCTGGATGCCACCCTGTGCCACATGCTGTAGGTGTGCCTGCTTGAGCAGGAAGGTTGGACTAGATGATCTGTAGAGGYCCCTTCCAACCTTAAATATTCTGAAATATTTTGAAATATTCTGAAAGATGAAGCTTTCTCTGCACTTTTTTTGATCAACTCAGAGCATTACTGAAATGCTCCCACTGTCTCCAGGGCAGTGGAGAAGGGCAGGCTGAGCTCACACATGCTCATCCACTGTCCTTTAATGTGCACTTGCAGTGGCTTTAAATCCTATTTTCAGAGACTGTGGCTTTTCTTCCTGCCATTCCAACTCTTTGCTGGGCCAAGCAGCTGGGCAAGGTGAACAGCGTGTTCCCAAGCCAGGGCAACAGCCAGAGTGGTGCTGGGAGCCAGAGTATTTAGGCTATATGTGCAAAAGCGATTTTAGCACCTTTAAAATCCSAACAGCTCTGGGGCAGTGCTGAGCAGACGGTGAGCAGGAAGGGCTGTGCTGGCGCACACCACCCCTCTGCCTTGGCCTGCTGCAAAGCCCCTGAGCACAATTACTCACTTCAAGCCAATAAACTGTGACTTGAACAAATACCATACACAGCATCTGGGAGGTTTCTTGGAAGTCCTGGTCCTAAAGGGCRTGCTAATTTTGTATTACTGTGAAATCAGTTGCTTCAAAACACTTTCCTAAACAGTGATAATTGGGGATATATGAATCAAGTTAGGAATGCTCTACAATGACATAGCTCATCAATTCTAGGAAATGGTGCACGATAACGAGTCCCTTCTTCTTCCACTGATGCTTCCTGGGCACCATGGAGCTGTCTTGGTCTCACGCCGGCCACAGTCTCTCTTTACCTGTCACTCCCACCTCTGCAAGTGGCTTCTCAGGCGAGCTCTGGGCTCATGTCTCTCCCACCTCAGAAGAGCTCCACCACTGCCATACTGTTGTAATGGACATGCATTCTTTWTTCTTCCTTATTATGAAAAGGTTAGGCCAGCTTTTACCTGTCTTTACCTAGAATAGAGGCAGCAGCTAGGAGGAGAAAACTCACCAAGCCGGTGACCGTGTTTACCCCATGTTTCTTGTTTCTCTCTTCTTGGAGAGATACACAAATGAAAAATTCAGAGATCAGAATTAAAAAAAAAAAAAAAAAAGCTAGAGGGTGGCATTAGCAACAAAATGGGAATGAACATTTTGTTCATATCACAAGATCTATTTTTAAGGGCCTGTTGTATGTTTTATGTCATAAAATCACTTGTGGGTTTATTTTCTCTTTAAAAAAAGGCAACCCATGCCTACTGAACAAAGCACTAAAATAGGCCACTCCAACCACTTCAGACAGGATGTATGGAAATAATCAGCATTAGTCTGATGTAAGAATGAACAAGTGAACAGAAGCAACTATTTGGTGACGCAGAATAAAGGGAGAGAATAGCAGAATTTTGCTCAAGTAGATTGAAAGAGCTGGTACCATTGGAAGGGATCATTACTGATGATAGAATTGGTAAATTTGTTTGACCTAGTAACTGCTCTTATTGGTGGCCATCTCTTTGAGTATAAATACCCTGTTGAGTATTTCCAGTAACTCTCCTGGTAACAAAATAAACGGGTTTAGATCTCCCTGACAGGAGGAAATTGTGTTTGTGATGCAGATGCAGAGAAGGAGGCAGATGCCATTAAGTGCTTTAAAAACACTCTCTCTCATCTACTGGTAGGAGCATCTCAAAATTACTGTTTTTCTTTTGTGTGCAGCTATAATTAAAGGTATGTCTAGGTTTCAGGCAGTTTCTTGTTTTCCTGATTTATAATGCTGTGTTATCAGTTGGAACATTTTGTCTTAAGCAGGCAGCTCACCCATAAGGGCCTTGCCAGTGTGCATACTGCCCTGGAGAGTTGTTTTCTTGCTGGTGTTGTAACCAAGATATGATTTTAAAAATATGTGGGGAGCTAGGCATCAAGGTCCTACTGAACTTTGCTTTGGCATGAACATGTCTTCAAAATTCCTCATATGGTAAAATGTGCTTCGTATTCAAATATTAGGGATCATCTTTAAACAATTTTGGATCATTTAACTTTTATTTTCAATTTTAATATTTTAAAATTGACATTTTTCTACTCCACTATAGCCCCCCCATCCCTCTTTCCTCATACCTAGTAATTTTTCTATTTTTAATAAGAAAAAGTAGATTTTTATTATTTTTAAGTGTTTAATTTCTGTTAATGGGAGGTGAGGAGTAGATTGATACCTGCCTTGCAGTGGACAAGTCCTGTTGATGACCAGACATTCGCTTTAGAAATGGTCTGGTAAGTTGTGTCAATGTGACTGTGAAGGAGCCATTTCAGACTCTGAGGTGTTTGTTAGAGGACCTCATGTCTTCTTCTGCAAGGTTATCTTCTCCGCAAGACCTTGGTTTCCCCCTGCAAAAAGATCTCTTTCCATGTATAACCAGTGAAATATCTCTTGAAATGATGATTCAGCAACTGGCAATGTGAGGGAAAATTTCTCTTGGCACTCCATAGTAGCTTCTCTGCCCTTCACTTTTCTTAGTGTGACTCTCTCCCACCATCTTTGCCTCTGATTTTGCAAGTTACTTGGCCGTGTGGGCTCAGGAATTATGGTCAAGCACTGGCTCTTTTTCTGTCTTGTTGGGTAGGCTTTGGAAAGAAACATTTTATTTTGACAGAGCYGATCAACACAGGAACTGAGAAATATATCTTTATTATTAGAATATTTATATTCTAAAAATGTTTCTCTGGGATTACAGTACAATCCAATTTCTTTATAATCAACTAACTTGGCATTTGTTCAGCAAATAACCATAACTTAGGATCTGAAAAGATAAAGAACATGCAAAGTCTTTCATACTTTTTTATCTTCTGCTTGACAACTTGGAGTCAAGATTTTAACATGATAACAAAATAAATATCTCATTTGTGAACTAGTAGTTGCACTTAACTTTGGTGAATAACAGTGCAGATAAGTATTTAAAAATACAAAAGAATCTTTTCAGTGTCAAGTGAATAATGAAACAGATTAATGTGTTTTATTTTCTTTCTAAAGTTCATCATTACCTTCGAAAGGGGCCACTTTTCATTTTTTAAAAGGATGAGGGAAATGATAGAAAAAAAAATAAAGAATTTTTATATTATGTGGCTTACCTAAAAATTTCTCCATAACAGACTATCTGATCAAAATAGCCATGCAAAACAACTAATAAATCCCTTTCACCAGCATATGATGCCTAACATAAGGCTGAATCTGACATTATAAGGTAGCTAAACCAATACTGAAATGCAAGTACAACCTAAATACCTGAATCGGGTTTACACTGTGATCTTCTCTTGAAACAGTGTTGAGAAACTTTATACAGGTTAACTGATTGTCCTAAAAACATTCGTTAAAAGAAAAGTCATAAATAGTGCTTTCATTCTTTGCTCTCTACTTTCTGGGGGCTCAATACACTGACAAATGTACGATATCTGTAATTACTTGATCTTAGCTGGCTGCCTGGTCATCATCTGCTTTAAAAATATTGCAACTCACATGCTTATTGCAGCTGTAATCATAGCGATTCACTGTCTTTAAATACTCAATTCTACTTACAGTGATATTATAAAAAAAGAACATTTTCCACAAATCTTTATACACATACTGTAAAAATCACCTTCCACAAAAACAATTTACATCTGCTAGGAGCATTTAAAAAATAAATTACACAGACTTGTTTCACCTATTCTTTCTGTTTCTTGAGAAAACTAATCTCATCAGTAATATCAACAGGATGTTCATATTTGTAAACATGGCAGAGGAATTCACGTTACCAAAAAAGAGTATGCCCAGAAAAATTGCCTTGCTAAAAATGCTGATGAATGAGAATCCTTTTAATTGGCACAAAGCAATATAAATGCATGCATGCCATGCAAAACAACTGTCATGTGATCGTCTCTAAATCTCTTACAGGGATTTCAACCCTGTATGAATTCATCAGAGAGATAAAATTTTGATGGGTTTAAATTATGATTGTAGCCAATTTGGGCCTTTCATGCCTTAAAGCAAGTACAGGTGTTGAACCTGTTCTTTTACCCCTTCCCATGCTACTGCTGAAAACCTTTGGCTGTGACCTAGTAAAGAGATGCCTCCTCTGCCTCAAAGTGCTGGTGAACGCCAAGGTGCCAGGCGCTGCTCTCAGTACTCGGAGGCACCACAGGCTGGTACACAGATCAAAACCAAAAAGCTGCTGGGGTGCAACAGCTGTGCTTCAAACACCAGAGCAGCTCCAACTTGCACTAGGAGAGAATGTGGATGTTGGCAAGATCGAGCTGCTCAACATGCGTAAGGAAGTGTGGAAATGTGCTTGATTGGGCTTCTAGCGGAAAGCTTATTACAGCAGTCTTCTGCTATATACAGCCTTCATGTCAACTCAAGTATGTTTTTTTTTCTTTTGCATCTAAATCTGTTTGCACATGTGACAGTTAATCATTGCCCATATACCTACCTATGCACAAAGACTGAAGAGTTGGGTGCTGATTAAACGGATTCTTCTGAATTTCAGCAATGGCATAGATTAAAAATAAATAACCAAGCCACATGCTGCCACTAAAATAACAATAAAAAATAGCCAAAGTACTGCTTAGCAAGATAGCTGTAGTTATTTAAAATAAGCTCTGTAAATAAATAAATAGAAAAACCTCAGTATAAACTGAAAAAAAAACCTCATTTCTCTTATAGCACGCTAAGTGGGAATGGAGTTACTTCAATAGTATATAAATATTCCATACTATATATATTTCTATATATTATATTTGATATGTTTTGGTGTGGCCAGATGGATAGCAAAAACCGGGATGATTAACTTCAGTCAGTATTTGCTGTGTTGAAGCCAAGCTCCTGTGTTATTATATATGTTACTAAACGTTCTTATAGTGGTTTCGCCTTTTTATTCATCTTAGATTTTGYATTCACCTTTCTGGCAGAGTAAACTAGTTCAGCTTTCTTTTGTGGTCTCCATAGTTCTCTTGGGCAATCAGAAGGTTCATAGAAATATTTGACTGGCTGGATGCTGTTTTTTTCATCCTTCACTTTTTTCAACAAGATTCTTCCTTTCTGGAAGGTATGAGGCTTTGTGTCAGGGATATTATATGAAGTGTGTTGACTTCCTTGGCTCCTGAAATTAAGAATAATGATTATTTGTAATGATTATTCAGTCTTGAAAAGTGAAAGGTATCAAAAATGTCCCAACCCCCCTTTTTTTTTTTTTTTTTTAAACAGAACCAGGTTGAAAGGTTAATATCTAACACTAGCAAGATGGACTGTATTTCTCAAAACTCAGAAGCATTCCTCACTAAAAGAACCCCTACTACTGCTACTGATGGGCTTTCTTCATGTATAGTCCCCTATGCTTTCACTCCAGATACCATTCTGTTGATTTGGTAGTGTTGTTACCTTGCTGAACTCACGGGATTTTAAAGATACATGTGTTCATGGCAACCTTCTGCAAAGAATGAATACCTCATGTCTTTAAAAGACAGCATGGCACCAGCAGCAATAAAAAGTGGATGCTGCAATGGTGCTGATTCCTTGGTGGAGGTCTCGTTGGTAGGGATTGCCTTGGTGGGATCTCAGTGCTCTCTAGGGTTGTCACAACACTGCCAAGCCTCAGTGCTTGGTGCTACTCACAGGTTGGTCTAACACGTTTGGCTTTAAAACTCAACTATGAAACTTCAGCTTTGGCTTTAGGTTTTGCTCTGAAACACGAGAAATGGGGACTACTGTAAGTAGTATGGAGAAGGGAATAAAAGCTTCAGGCCCAACCTAAGCTGAATTCTCTCTTTCATGTCTATGATGGCTCAAGCCTTGTGAGAGCTGCTGAAACTGGTGCACTTAGGAGGAGTTAGAGCACAGTGCCTGGTGTTGTGAACCATGCCTTCTGCTCTGCAATGTTATGTTGAAACTACAGTTCCACAGTTTAGTTCAATAAGAATTCCCTTTTAACATAATCCTGAAATATTTTACAGCAGATGCATATAGAAAAACAGCAGCACTATGAATCTAAGGCATCAGCTCATGAATACCCAGCTCCCATGACTGAAGYGAAGAATAGATATGCTGATGTACAAGTTATATTAAGAGTTCCCATAGGAATATTTTCCATAGTTTGTTGTTTCTGGAAACCATGTATCTGTAGTTATACTTATCCTAGGAGTAAACAGCACGCCCTTGACAGAGCCAGTTCTGCAAAAAGCTGCAGCTGTTTAAGTGCATACAGTTCAAGCCCTTGCCCCTCAGGACCTGCAGCTGCACTTTCCAGTCTCTTCAGTGCCATCCTCCAGGCTGTTTTCATCAGGTAAGAGCTCTTTGTTTAGAACAACAGCCACTGGTATTGTCCCATTTTGAAGCCACCTGCCACTCTCCTGGCTGTGAGCAATCTCCTCGTGTAGTCACACAGAGACCTTCCATTTGATCAGCAATAGCAAGACCAGCACCAGTGAAATGCCCTCCTCTTCTCGTATGCTTTTCCTCCAAATTTGGCCTAATTTGAAACCTGCTCTTTAAAAGACCAGAAGGGTGTTGTGAAAGCTTCTGTAATTGCTGGCAGCTTTGCCAACCAGACTTCCTTGTGATTATGTTTCTGGGCGAAGGAGCTGTGCAGATCCAAGCTGGAGCTCATAGATTCTGTGAAATGCTAGCTCAGCCATGGGCTCTTGTCAGGGTTTAGAAATTACCTGCTGAGGTAGAGGTTTGGGCCATTCTGATTTATAAAAGTTTCTTAGGCACAGCTTGCTAAGGTCTATTAAATATTTGTTGTTAAAACACATAATGTTCTGTTTTTCTCAGATGTTGCTCTTATGAAGAAGTATAATTTATCCCCAATACACATGTAGGTTTTCTTGCAGCGGGTGATGTTAGTCACTCCACTGCACCACTGAATGATACTATTAGACTCAAAACAGATCAAAGCTAAGATGATTGGTGGGGATAGCCTAAAAGAGCAAAACTGTATTTAAATTAAATGTATTTATAGTGAAAAAGATGGGCTTTGGTTCCTAACTCTTAAAAAGAGAAAAGGTAGCTAAGGCTCATGAAAATTAACAGGGATTTTGAAGTTCCAGACTCATGATGAGGCAATGAGTTTTGTTGGAAGCTGAGGGAGAGAGACCCAAACTAGTGTCCCAGGGAGCAAGGATGTGCTGTCTGACCCACGTTCAGCCAATCAACCTCCAAACCAGCCACCAGCAAAGACAGAGATACCCTTGAAACCAGGCCTATTAATCTTTCTGCTCAGAAAGCACCTTCTTGAGTAATCTGAGATGTTGTTAATGGTTGYTTACACGTGATTTCTAAGCTGACCAAGTTACTGTCAGTTAAGAAATGACAACTGTCTCTCTCCTACCTACAGAATGTTAGAGATATTTTCATTTGAAATGTGGCCTATGTTCCCTGAGGAACAAAGCTTTGCAAACAGCTTATATGAAGAAGTCCTTGATTTTACACAGTTACCTTTTTCTTTAAAAAAAAAAGAAAAAAAGAAATACATTTTCTTGCCAGAGAAATCTGTTTTTCACTATTACATAAAGTAAATACAGATCACACTCAGGTATAGGCATTGATGCATGACCTGCCCCTGATCCACTACCTATATTCTAACGTTAGGATCAGTTTGAGATAGCAAAAGCAAAAATGCAAGTGTGCTAACTTAGTATCTACAAATATGAGAAAAAAAAGAGACATACATACAGGCATCTGGGTTTCTTATGTAATGAAATTTCTGTAAACTGCAAAGAAAACAGAAACATGTTATTGATATTAACATTAAATTATCAGGTAATAAAAGCATGATCATAAAATTGCTGAGTTAAAATATTTGAGATATATGCCATCTTCAGATTTACATTTCCATTCTCACATGCTGTTTCTACTAGAAAAACACTAATAAGAGAAACTAAAGTTGGAGGAATAATAATCAGTGTTTTTTTTTAAATTGTATCTATTTTTAAACTCATAATATGTGAATTGCTAGTGGACGAATTTTTCCTTTTTTTGGTAACTATAATCAAGGTAAATTGCTGAAGAAGTGTGGGCTCAACACATCCTTCACATTAGATTAAGCAGTGCAGATACAATCAGAAGTAATTGTTATGTTCAAGATAATTAATAAGGGATAGTGCCTCAAACTATTAAATTAACTTTATCTCAGAGCCTTAAATTTTGCAGTCTTATTTTTCAATTCTTACAGTTTTTACACAAACAGTTAAGGAACTCCAGCTCTGCCTGCTGAAGCACACAGTAGTGTAGGGTGAAAACTCAAGGGTTTCTCTTCCTTTCCTACTCCTCGAAATCCCAAGGCCACTTAGGGACACACCTTCTCAGCCCAGCAAAACTTTGCATGATTCCATTTATTAAGACAGGATGCCTAAAAGTTTGGGAGCAATTTTGTCCAGCCCTTCATCCCATCATTTACGTAAGTCACCATKCCAAGCATGTTAGATTTGCCATTTGAAAAACATTACTTTCTAGTAAATGTTCCATGTGTCCCTGGTATTTTTCCCACCTTGCAGGTGGACTTTTGCCCAGCCCAACTTTGCTTGTCCTCTGTTAGGGATGGCAGTCTGGAGCCATTGTGTGCTTTTCTTTAATTACCTTGTGAAGGGCAGGCTGGCCGATATTTGCATGAATGACCTCAGAGGAATGCTTAAGTCATTCAGAAAGCAGGGCAGCTGCCTCAAAAGTTAGCATCTTCCCCAAGGGACACCGCTGAGCCAAGAATCCCAGTAAATGCATCAAGAGCATGGGAGATGATTTAATTCTGAGGCATAGTCCCTTTCAATGTTCTCRAACACATTGAAATGGGAACCTATGCCAAATTTCAGCACATCTCTGTTACTTAGTTCTTGCCTAAAGCCAGGTAGCTATAGGAATCTTTGCTTTCCACCATTAAATACCTTTTTAGTGCTGTGTATGGTCAAATGTCTTTCACCTCCAAAGAAGAGTAAATACTTAGTAGTTATTATTTAAGTTGAAGTGTTTAATTTAAGTGAAGTATTTAATTTAAGTTGAAGTGTTCCTTCAAAGATATGTGGATAACTGCTGCTATATGAATGTAATGCATTGTAGGAAAAAAAATACTGAATTTAGTGAAAATGAGAGCTTCCACAGGAATCATGCTATTTAACAAGCAATGTTTAGACATTAGTGGTTTCCAGTCTGTGAGCCTGTGGAAATTCATGGACTACTTCTAGGAGTTCTGTAACAGTTAACTCGGAAAAGGCAGCCTATTTGCCAGAAGCCGTACATATTTTCTATAGCAAACTGCATCTCAGCTGAAGAAAACAGGAATATGCAAAAAGACTGCCAATAGAACCTTGGTCACCCAGAGGCAATGTGTTTCTAGCAAAGAAAACTAGCCATTGCCAAAAATTTGGAAAATTTTTGAAAAAAAAAATCTGGCAAATATTTCTGTATCCAGTTTGCTTTTCCCATCTTGGTCTATTTTTTGCTTGTTTCCTCTATGCTTCTTTGAGCTTAACATCTCCATATTGTTCCCACATCTTCTTCCTTACTGCCAACTGCCAGTCTACCTGCAACTTGCTTCCGGTGAAAGGCTACAAAGCTCAGTTGCCTTCTGCCTTTGCTCATTACCCTGTGACTTGCTTACATTAGGCCTGAACTGAGTACTGCTTTTAACACTATCCATTACAATGAACACTGGAGCAAACATATAACACATATGGGAATATGAGTTATTCAGGTTTCTACAGTGACACTCAAAACTGTTTGAAATTCACCTGTTATTACTAAACACACCCTCTATGTGATCCATGAAAAATATGTGAAGTGGCAGTTAAAGATATAAATAAAACATAAGGCTAAAAAACCATTTTACAAATACAGATCTGTCTGGAAGAGCAATTAGTCCGTCCTGCTAGACCTCTTACATTCAGATTCAAGTACTTTCCCTCCAGTGGTGGGTGACAGTTAATGGAAGGACTTTGCTGACTTACCACAGGTTCGTCAACATCGTTGTGGTGGCACACAAGCTGCTGATTTTGGTAATATTCTAGCTGCCTTTCTGCCAGGTCCACCCGCTGCAATAGGTTCTCAATGAAGTGCTGGAGCCTGGCTTTTCCCCGGACTTCTTTCTCTGCTGCTTCTTCAAGGAAGTGGTTGAAAGTAACAACTTCTCTGCAAGACAGATATATGACAAAGAAGTAACACTTAGATAATGGGAAAGGCCCTGGTCTCATTGCTATCAGAAAATTACTTTGTTACTTGCTAGGTCTTCAAAACCAAGCTGAAATCCAAACCCTGCTGCCACTGTGGGCCACAATTTCATATGATACCTTTCATAAACTCATCAGCCTTCACAGCAGCATGAGCAACAGTTGTTTGATTATCACAGCCTAGATTTATCTCCTTAGTCTATGCCACTTGTTTCTGTCCCTGTGCTGCCWTCCCTTGGCATTTGTTCCACATAATTACAGATAACCCCTGTTTTGCACGTGTAAAGGAATTGTGTGTTTTTAACTTCTAAAACAGGCTGCTAGTTTCACCTGCCTTTCTTTGCAGCTGTGATCAAACAGGTAACTAGAATGATGTCTAGCTTTACAGAGGCAGTTTCACCAGTGTCTTGCACAACAGGCAGGCAGTTCCTTCTCCCTGCTGGACATACCTCACCTGATGCCTAGCCTGCTTTTTATGGTAATATCTCATGATGGCTAATTGCTGTCTTTCTCCTCTGGTAAGAGATTTCAGCCTTTCCATGAACATTTATGTAAGAGCTGGAACCTTAAATGCTGAATTTAAGCACTACAGGCAGCTATTTGAAAACAGGGCAACCTTCTCCTTACTTATATATATGACCATCAATCTTGAAACACGATGGGAAGTGGATGAAATTTATTCTTTTGATTTTCTCATAGTCTGATGACAGTAGTTCAACATAACCACTGTCGTAGTTCCTAACTTAAAAAAGCTACTGTGGCCATTAAACCCCACTTGAGCTGCAATCCTCCAAACACTTCAAAGTGCAGTGCTGTGAGCTAGCTGGGAGCTAGTAGGAGGATAGGAGGTTAAGAGATAACCTACAAGTTTATCAACTTTTTTAAAGTTTGTCTCTTCTAGTTCGCACATACTTTTCCTTAGCCAAATTGGTTACTCTTTCACTATCTAAAAATAGATATTTTTAATATCTGCTTTTAATAGGTGTGATGGTTTTCTGTTTATTTTCTTTGTTTCACTTATTTCTCCTGGCCTCTATGATTGTTACTGAAAATATTATGAGATCTGATTCTCACCCCCTCTTATGTTTTGTGAGCAAACGGGTGTTCACACAGGTTAGAGGCTGCTCCTCGGTAAGTCAGGAGTAAGGTGGTTCCATGAATGTGGTGGACAGAATACCAAAGCAGAGCACAACAGCAAGGCCCTGCCAGGATTGACCTCTTTGCAGAACAGCCTTGTCAGCAGCGCTCACCTGAAGCAGCACTCGCTGGCTGGAGTCTGGCTCAGCCCTGCAGCACTGCCCTTGCAGGGAGCAGTCAGCTACCTATATCTGCAATGCTGCTGATATTTTAAGAAAAGGTGATGCAGAGTTATTAGATCCCCTTGAACCATTTCTGTTCTCAGTTGTCATCTATTTCCCACTTTGTCTGGTTCCTCTTTTTGCTCTCCTTTCTCCTCCCCTTGTCCTGCCTGCAGACTCCTGCTCCTTTTCACTGAGCTCTGGATCCTGTCACTAACCTTCTTGAGCAGAGCAAATTACAATCAGCACGTCTCAGATCTCTGCAAACTTCTGTGGAGGATAACAGAGTTGTTTCATGTTGTTTGTTTGTAGTTTACTGTACAAACATATATTAATATATTTTGTATTGCCTATTTTTTTAAGTGTTTAAGTGTTGTAACTAGGCAGTGTGGAGAAAGGTTAGTTATTTGTTTTCTCTTGRGTGCTGCAACCTCCATCAGCCAAAACTTTTTAGAAGGAGGGAGCACTGTCTACTCTGACAGCAGTCACATGCGACAGGCAGCAGCTTCTGGAGTCGGGGCACGGCAAGGTATAGGGCAGGACAAAGTTGGTGAGGGTCACACGACCTGGAAAGGCCGCAGAGAATCAGCTGGTAGTCTGTGGCAAAAGAGCTTTTCCCAGAGGCAGAAGGGACTGAGAGCATTGATTGCAATGTGGCAGGCTGGAGAGGTGCTGATCTGAATAAAAAGAGGAGAGGGAAGAACCCACTGTGGGCAACTCGCTGGGGGAATTAGCCTGTTATAGTTAACTAGAGGTAACTGGTTTGGCATTTTGCTTCGTAACATAAACAAGCTGCTCTTGAGGAAAAACTGCAAACAGGTCCGTTTTGAAACTTTTCCAGAAATCTTCATGAAACAACACAAGACATGATAAATAAAATCATAAACCATAGATAGAAAAACGAATGCTCGTGTTGTTTTTGCTACTAGGTGACATGCATATCCTTGCAGGACTTGTGAGCTGCATACCTGCGCAGTTGCTGTTAGGGGGACCCTGCAGTTACCCTTAGTGTTTGTATGTTTCTCTGCTGGCAAGAGAGTAGTACCAGGACTGGATAAAGAGTTTGCTCCTGTATTTGACAAGATAGACAAGATATTTGACTCCAGCTCCTGTATTTGACGAGAGGAGCTAATGATTTCACCGGTTGTGACTAAACCCTCCTACAGGCACATACTGCTGGTTGCAGGACAATTAACAGCAACTTTTAACACCTGCAGTTGCTCTGTAGGTGGAGACAAGCATGAAGCTCTCTATGCATATTGATGCATCCATTCTGTATCAAATCCTTTCAGAAAATCACACTTTGATTAGCTCCGTCTAAAATTAATAAGAAAAAAAAAAACAAATACTTTTGTTATTTTACCTGAGGATGGGAAAGTTGATACTACAGCTAGTTTTCATTTAGTTGTGAAAATTTTTTAAATATGTCCATTCATTAGGACTGCTGACTTTATCTGCCATCTCTTTGGTGTTGCTGCCTGAAGGCTGGTATCTGTTATTTATTAGCTTGTGKTCTCACATTCCTACCCCATTACCAGCACCTTTGATTTAAGAGATTCATACTGCCTCCTCCTCCTCTCAAAAAAAAAAATTTGTCCTATCAGTTGTCCCATTCAGTTGTTTGTGGGTTGTGTGGTAGATCTGAGCCATTATGTTACTGGGTTGGCACTGGGAAGGTTAATATAGTTTATTTTGCAGTCTCATTTTATGGGTAGTCATGCTACACTTAAATCAGTGCAAGTGAGGGGGCAGTAATCTCTCAGGTGGGAAGATGAAAGGAGATGGGGAAGAGGCAGTGGGGCCATCTGAAACCAAGAGGGGAAAGTTCTACTTGGAACAAAATCCAAACTGTTTTGCTGTGCAACTGATATTGATATTTTTAAAAAAGCACAAGTTATAGTGATCTCTAAGACAGATCACTATATTATGAATATAATGATATATTCATAATATATCTGTGATATCTATCATATATAATATATTATATATATATAAAACTATATTAAATTATGAAAATTTTGATCCCATTGCCAAGCTGTTATTTGCACAAAGAGTTTCATTGACTGCAAGTTTCTGGTGAAGGACTGGAAAAAATAAATACTCACTATAACAGATAATTCTGAAGTAGTTCTTATATTCCAGGTTATGCCAGAGCACAGGCATGACCAGACAGTCTCAAGCAAATGTATTAAACTGCTTAAAGAAGTTAGTGTTAGAGATATGACAACTCAACTGACTACATGCATGTTCTTGCCGTATATTAGAGGACAAGCTGAAACTGTGTAAGTCATCATATAACTTCTAATGGAGGATCATAAATTAAAAAATACAACAACAAAAAAACACTAGTTGTCTTAGCATGCCCTGGAAATGAGTGGTATGGGTGCAGGACAGAAGTACAAGCCATTCTAATGCTACAGTGAGATAAGACAGACAAGTGTACCTCAAAAATCTCTATTTTCTCAGTAAAAAGAAGTTCCCAACAGAAATACAAATTCATATGAAGAAAGAGCTATTACCTTTTTTGTTGTCCTTGAACATGACATGCAGAGAATTACTAAGGCCCAAATCTTTATTCTGCAATACATCTCACACTAAGATTTAAGGACACTCTGTCCTTTACTTCAAATGCTGTTCAGACTTATTGAAGGAAAAAACACTTAATTTTTTTTTTTAACATAAGTTCCAGAAACAAGTCTCTAGGTGTCCTCTAGATAAGGGTTTCATGGCTAGTTTTAGTTTCAAAGGTTTTCTTGGTATCTTATTCAAGACAAACTTAACTGCTCTGGTATCTTTAAGATCATAATACACACTGAGTTGTGCTTTCTTTCATAAAACACTGAATATGCCCTTTCAGGGCATATCTGCGAATATTAATCATCATCTTTGCTCAGCAGCTCTACTCCAGGCTTGACTCCATAGCCTTATTCATCCAAATTGTCCTGGGCCAAACTGAAATGGGTTCTGTCCTTGGTARCTTTGCTTGCATCTGCAGAACGTTCAACTTGTTTTTTTTCCGCTCCCCTCTCCTCTCTTTCCCCAAATTTTGGGGGAATGTGATATGGCTATATGAATAAGTGATGCAATAGTGCCTGCTCTAAGACTTTTCTGTGCTCAAATCATACTTTAAGAATGGGTTGGTTTTGTTGGTGCGGTACTGTTACCTTTCCCCGCCCCCGCATCAACACCTGATCCCCACAAGGGCATCACACTGATAYAAGTGTGCACAGCTGTATGTATTAGCACATGTATTTTTGTAAGGGAAGAAGAATAAAGTATAAATAAAAGATAGCTTTGCTCTATCAATGTCTCTGTTGGACTGCTATAGCTTTTATGTAAAACAAAGAACAGATTAAATGACACTTGTAAAGAAATAACTCYAATAACTGTAGAAAAAAAATCTGTATGGGCAGCCCTGTGGTTGCTGACAGACTAAACTAATTCTCTTCCTTCTCAGCAGAATGAGAAGTTAAAGTAAAACCAAATGGTACTGTAATTTACATTATCACTGCTAATCAAAGCACTAACTAATTTCAACTTAGAGAAGGATTTACTCCCTACAGAGTTCTGAAGCCTACATACTTGTTGCYTGCTTTGAAGAGCACATCAGAGAAATCTGCTTCTGACAACACAGCCACTTGAAGCATCACAGTTTTTCTATATCCTACATGCTTGTTGAGGCTCGGGACATACAGGTGGAACAGAGAAGAAATTAAATTACATGAAGATACAGTGACCTCAGATGTGCTGTGCCTGCTGAGGGGTGCTGGTCTCAGCAATGTCATATCTACCTTCACTAGGCTAGGCAAAAACAAAACACATGAGGCCCGAAAGCGCTGCATTTCTGGAACAAGAAGATGGAGATATTTAAATAAAGAATTAATATCTGTCCTTGCATCCTTGCAGGATTTTACATCCCCCTCTTAGGACYTCTTAGGACCTAGAATATCTAGGAGCTAGATATTCTTGCTAGCACCTATCTTGTCTTTTTCTTAGCTTTCCTATTTGACTTCACAATCAGACCCCCAAATCAGAACTATTATCCAAAGTGGAATCATACTGTTATTTTCTCTCTTCATCTTCTCATACCTTCAAATTTGCTTTATTTCCACAGCTAATTCACAGGCCAGCTCTCTGGGTGTCAGCACTAGAAGAATCATCACTASAAACACTCTTTTTCATCTTCAACATCTAGGTAACTATCTTATTCTTATACATTGTAGCAGGTCTGGCATAACATCTCATAGAGCTCCCTAGAATATGTAGGCATCTTCCATACAGATGAAAATGCACTGGATTAATACATTCAATAATAAGGATGCTTAGGATTGTCTTTCCATACAAGATCCTTGCGTAGTACCTGGATATGCAGGAATGTTCAGATATGGTTCTGATATAGACATCTAACTACTTTATCAGAATGTTGTTTTTCAAGAGTTTTTTTTTTTTTTTTTTAATCTCGGACCGATCTGGAGTAGACCTACCTCAGTCTGTCTGGTATCTAAAAATACGTATTGATTATATCCTCTTTCTTCTTTTCACATGCACTTTATTCCACCATAATATCTGGTAGAGATGACCGTTCAGAAACAAATGGAAGACTGGTTTCCTTTTTTATTTTCATTCCTATTTTATTATCATTTCATTTATTTTTCCCTAAGGAAGCTCTAAGAAGAAAGGTGTTTTCATTTTTCTTCTTCTAAAAATAAATAATAAATAAATAAATAAATAAATAAAGTCACCACAGTGGCTCAATAGTAGTGCTACTTTGGGGAAAAGTTATCCATATTTACTCATGGTGAAAAAATATCAAAAATCCAATGAAAGCATTTATTTCTGAAGGTCAGCAAGTATCCAAGCCAGTCCCTAAGGGGTGCCTTTGACTTTCTCAATCTGCAGTGAGAACTCCTGCCTCTGCAATTTCCATTAAGTAGTCTTGTTTGGCTTCCTAATCATTTGGACTTCTTCCAGAAATCAAAGCCAGAGTTGAGGTCCTCCTTTTGAAGGAGAAAGTTGTTTCAGCACACAAGATGAATAAGTTTTTGAATAAGCAAAAGATAATGAATAAGGAAATGGTCTCAGAACATACCAATAACCCATGAGAAAACAGAACAAGTTCTGATGTCAGTAAAGGTTATGAACATCCTTTCTTTTCCTCTCTTTTACACAGCATATTCACTTCCTATTCACTTCTGTAGCACAAAGCAAAATATTCAAGGTGTTTTTTTGACACTCTGATCTGAAAAGCTCTTCCCCTTCCATTCCTTGTTCCACTRAGTCCCTTCGGCCTCAGGATCATATCTTCTCTTGCGACAGCTGTTACTGCGCAGGCCTGGGGACACATGGCCTCTTCCTTGTTCTTTTCATACTAGACTTAAAAATCTCCAGCTTTACTGCCTTTCTTGTCACAAATCAGAATATCACAATCATTATTCTTTCTCCCCCCAGAAACCTAGCTAAGTCAGTTTTTTTCCCCCTGCCCCTTCTCTTCTTCCTTGCTAGTCCTTGGTTGTCCTTTCTGMTCTACAACACAGCAGGAGTTTTTACAACTCCATTTTTGTTGCACTGTATGGTCTCTGCTATACTCTACCATGACAGAAAAACACATCATTTTTTTTCTGTGGATCACAAGCCTTGTATCATAAGTCTGTCCTCTAGTTAGTTTGGAGTAAGATTTCATGTGTCTTCATTTTAGATATCTAAACTTCAGCACCTCACCCCAAATGGGTGCTTACCTGAGGTCCCTCTTGAGTCTTCAGAGAAGAACCTCTACCGAACAATTCCTCCCACTCTGTCTTTCTAGAGCAAGTAGGATGAATCACACTGTGAAAGAACCCAGAATGAAAGTTTGGCTGGAAGCTGTGATCTTTGATGCCTCAAGTTAGGTGGGAATTCTACCGTAAGTGTATTCAAATGGTAACGTATCCTCACAGCTTCCTCCCATCATTATTACAAATCTCTGTCTCAATTTCACTATTATCTTTACCTTTATCTTGAATCCTTAAATCTTCTCTTCTGTGAAGGTCAGCTGGTATTTCAGAAAGCCAGAAGCTCTGATGAATATTCCTGCAAGGAAGATGCATCTCCCAGAGGCTCAAACCCCATCACTTTTTTGCTGTCTGCTGTCCTGGGAAATCCACAATACTGCCTCGGGAGCCACCACCACCTTCTCTTTCTAGTCTTTAAACTATAGCAAGACAGGATGAAAACCCTCCGAACCTGCTACAGTGATCTCCTACACCACCTTCCTGTTTCTTCTATGATCAGCGTCATGGCAACTAGCACTCCTCAACCTTCTTTTGTGAGCTGAGGAATTGGTTCAGAAGCACTCCCCTATTGGGATCCAAATTTGCATTACTCTTAAAATAAGTTGTGCTGCTTCAAATGCCTGGAAATGTTTCAGCACTTGCTGAAAAAACTAAGTAGTTCATGTATAAATAATATATCAGACATCACTACATTTTTAATGGAGGCATCATGAACATGTTTTTAGATGAACYAGGCATGTCAAAATGACTCTGGCATCTGCTTCCTCTTCCCATATATGCAATACCAGTTTCACAGTTGTGTGTCCATCTAAAACACCTGCTTGGATATGGCCTCTTGAGCATCACCTTCCTATACGGCTTTGCTGTGGCACAGGAGCCCATCCGCTCTACCAGCGACTCCCTAATGTCACTGGGACGACTCCAAGGGAAAGATGCCAGTCTGTAGTGATACCTAATGCCTCAGCACTCCCCGTGGAACTGTTCTTAAAAACACAGTGCATTGGAGATGTCAGTTTAAATCGGATTATATGCTGATGACAGCTTAGACTTGTTCCTGTCCCCGCGAAGCAAGGGTCACAACTTGGGCATTACAGGACAAAGGAACTGGTCACCACGACAGAAGCACCGCTCTCAGCACAAGCCCCTGTGCCCGGTRGAGCTGTCCTGTGCTGTTGAGGGGCTGCGCTCACATGGGGTATTGCTCCAGAAGAAAGGACCGAGAGCTGCTGAAGGCCAGGCCCCTTCCTGTCATCGAGCCACCCACCCAGCCCTCTCCTGCAGGCCTTTCCCTCCGTCCCGCACGTGCTGGCGAGGCCCCCGGCGCGCGCACTTACTCCTCCTTCCTGTGCAGCTCCTCCTCGGACTCGCTGAGGCGCTGCTTGAGGGCTGCGATCATCTCCACCGCGACATCCACCTGCCTGCTCAGGGCGCGCTCCCGACGCTGCACCTCCTGCTTCTTCTGCGAGAGCTGCACGAAAGCTGCCCGCACCTCCAGCAGCTCGGCCGTCTTGCGGGCCAGCTCCTGGGTGAGCCTCTCGATTCTCTTCTCGATGCTCTGGTCCACGGCCTCCACCATCCTGTTGAACTTCTCCCTGACGTGCGCCTCGAGGGCGGCCTTGGGCTCGCCGCCCGGGAAGCCGGGCTCGGCGGCATCAGCGGGTGCGTATTCGGCCAGCAGCGACGCCGGCCGCTCGGCCTCCAGCTCGAGCGGCCGCCGGCCCTCGGTGCCGCCGCGGGGCTGGGCGGCGGGGAGCAGCTCAGCATCCTGGCGGCAGGAGAGGAGGCGGCTGGGGCCCAGCAGGCTGCCCCCGGCGCAGCCGCGCTCCAGGTGCGCCCGCAGCGCCGCCAGGCTGCGGAAGCCGCCGCCGCAGCGCGGGCAGCGGAAGGGCCGCCGCTCCGGAGA